CTAGAGGTTCTAGTAGACGTTCTAGACGTTCGAGACGTTCTAGTCGAGCTAGAACGTCTACTAGAACGTAGACGTTCTAGTAGACGTGAGCTCTAGCCCAAATCGGCTAGAGCTCAAATCTCGACCTTGACGGGATTCGAGAACGCTTTAGAAACAAAAGCTCATTGAAAAGAAACTTACAATAATGCAAAATATCACAGAAAACTTGAATCATTCTTGCAAACGAAAAGCCAAGTACGATCAAGAAGTACAAGAAAAGAATCACTCTGAATTTGGCTCTGAATTTGAAATTTGGCTCAAAATCCAGTTATTATAACTGTTTTCAACTAGGTTTTAACTTCTAAATGTAAATCTAACAAGGAGAATGGAGTCATTATGGGTTTTCTTTGAACTTTGACTGCTTCATCAGTTGCGCTGTCAGACCGTTAAGCGCTGTTAAGCTGTTAGACCTGAATTTGTAATCAATTTACAATCGCAAATCCAAATACAATTGCATTCGCCAGATAATCGCATTCGAAAGGTAATCGCATTCGAAAGGTAATCGCATTCGCAAGGTAATCGCATTCGAAAGGTAATCGCGCTCGAAAGGTAATCGCGCTCGAAAGGTAATCGCGCTCGAAAGGTAATCGCCGATTCGCTCAAAGGTAATCGCATTCGCCAGATAATCGCGCTTCGAAAGGTAATCGCGCTCGAAAGGTAATGGCATGCTCGAAAGGTAATCGCGCTCGAAAGGTAATCGCATATCGCAAGAGATTTCTACCGTAATCTTGTCTTTATTTTTATCAAATCTACTTTGCGCCAAATTTTTTGCGCAACTCGCCATAACTTTCTTCTAAGTCGACCAATCTTTTTGATTTTGGTGTCATTTTGTTTCACTTGTTGAGATCTACAAAATGACACTAAAATCATAAAGATTAATCCACTTAGAAAAAAGTTATGGTGAGTTGGTGCAAACGGCCCAATTGGTGCAAACGACCCAGTTGGTGCAACTCACCATAACTTTCTTCTAAGTCGACCAATCTTTCTGATTTTGGCGTCATTTTGTAGATCTCAACAAGTGCAACAAAATGATACCAAAATCAGAAAGATTGGTCGACTTAGAAGAAAGTTATGGCGAGTTGCGCAAAAGACCGCAAATTATTTAGCTGCGCAAAGTAGCCACCCCCAAATCTATCTAATATTTGTTTGATTCTGTGAAGGATATCAAAAGATATAAAAAAGAGAGACAAGATTACGGTAGAAAGTGAAAAAGGACACGATTTAGTAAATGATTTATCTTTAAACTCTTAACAAATCAGAAAAATTCTCTCTTTTTCTTTACCGTAAACTCTTCTGCATCAGTTGAAAGCATTTTGTAAACCATTGCACGAAAATCAACGACGGAATCCCAATACAGTATAAAAACATCTCAATCGGATGACAGATTCGATTTATTCGAAAAATCATTTCATCCATTGCTGGTTCATCGAAAATTCGCTCATTGACAAACATCGGGAGGTAATTTTTGTGATTTCAAATGCATAGACGACGGCAAAGAATTCCCTAATGAGATGTCGTGGAAAAGTTTTTGTGGAAATGTAAAATGGCAATTATTTTGGCAAAATGAGTATCAAATTAAAAAATCGAAAAGTTCATTTTTAACCAAAAAAACATTGTTGACTAACCAATTTCGAGGAAAAGCTAGAAATTCGTGACTTGTGCACAACAAAAACAGTCATAATTGGAAGGAAACCTGGAAGAAAAAAACGATGACATAATGACTATTTTTGAGGTTTTAGGGGAAAATCGAAATTAGATGAGTGGTTAAAAGTTAAAGAATAAAAAGCTATGACACAAACTTTTAGAAGAATCAGAAACAGCGTAGTTCACTGTTTTCTAAGATGTTTGAAGTTGAGTACAAGAACTTACTTAAGAAAGCAGTTACCGTACTCCGGAGAGGCTTCAAATGTTTCTGTACTTCTAGGGATTCTAAAAGATGGATTTACGAGAACAGTGCCCGTATCCATGAACGTTCCAAACGGTTTGGAATTCCAAACCATTTTACTAAGCAATGAGTTATTTTTTGAATTATTTTTTTGAAACTGTTGTGCAGTAGAGAATTGTGTTCAACTATTCCAAAAAATTACCTCAAAGAGTGAAATCATCGCTTAGTAAAATGGTTTGGAACGTTCATGGATACGGGTATAGGAATGTTTAAAACTGATGACATTTAAAACTTAAAACAGATTCTTTGCGACTAAAGCCTGATGAGCTTCCAGAAAATTTTCACACGCAATTTACCAGCAAATTGATGATCCTCGAGAATTTCTGAAAAAAAATTAACCCAAACTTGTCTCCTCTTTCTCACGCCACTTTACACTATAATACAAACGATCAAAGTAATTAGCTATTTTTAGAATCCTGAAGAAATAAAACTAAACTTGTAAGCAATCTAAACGCAAATTGGTCATTGGTCATTTAAATTTAAACCACTGTTGAAATTGACTGATTTGTTTATAAAATTCGTCCAATAGCGTTTAAGTAAATGTTCTTCTCACTAAATGTAATGATGACTGAATATTTACTTTCAATATATAAATGAACCACTTGGAAATAAAACAATAACCCACCAACAACACTTATTTCAGAGATCGCTCAAATAACAACAAAACACCAACGAAAATGTTATCACCGTATATCTTTTATTGATTGTTGAGCTTCGTTAAATCGACGCCGAGTTGTTTGGCCTGCGTTTCGATGAATTCGGCCATTTGCTGGTTGTTCATCTCCATTCTGAAATTGAAAATTTATACTTGATCGAGCTAAATGTGATTAATACACTAAAATATGCTCAAGTCAAAAGGAAGGGAAAAATTTAGTTTCTTCTAAATACTCCAATCGTCGAAAATCGTTCTAACCCGTGTCCAATAGGCAACGTAAATAAAAATCTCGTTTACCTGTAGTTTTTCGTCACCATTTCGACCCAACTATTCTCAAGATTCTTCAGCGCTTTTCCCGCATTCAGTTGGGTCACTTTTCGATTGGCATGCACTTCCATTAACTAAAAGTTCAAGCTGCAAACATAAAAAACGTTTTTTAAAAACGGACCTGTTCCTTGACTTCACGAAGTTTAGTTTCCAAAACTGTCAATTGTGTTTGCAATTCCTAAATAACAAAAATCAGTTACAAAAAAAACGCTTTTACTTCAGTCCAACGCCGTGAAACTTCAGGTCCAAATTCTTCAAGCAATTCCAAGTTGATTTGCCGCAGAAGGAGGTGCTCATTTTGGGCGTAAGCGTTGCGAGTAGACTAAACCTTTAGCATTAAAATTGAGAACGACACATTTATCAAAGGCTTGTATAAAAACTAAACTTATCATCGCTCAAAACTACTGGAATGTATGCTTGCTGCAATAGTACTACATTGCGCATTGGCTGTACGTATTCTGATACAAAAAAAGGGAAAATAACCTTTTTCCACGCATTTTTATCGCTCGAGCGTTGTGTTCCTGCTGGTGACGGCAACTCGCATCGGCTCATATCCAATTGGGGCATTTCCTAAAGAAATAATCCGTAACTAGGTAATTAATTAATTGCCCAAAACCACTCGATTCGTATCGATCGAAAAAACTTACTTGTTTCTTTGCGATCCTAGCGTTTTCCTGGATTAGCGCTGGTGTCAAAAATGCTTCGTAGTCGGGCACGGGCAAATGTTTGAGGTAGTTCTTCGTTGGTTTGAAAACCTAAAAACAGTTACTCACCAGTGGTAAATTTTCTATAAACTTGCTAAAATAATCGTTCTTTAATGTCTAATTGTTTACTATCAGCAAAATTAAGCTTCTCTATTTAAACTTAAAAAGTTTCTTTTTACAAAACTCATGTTAAACTTTGAAATCTTTACCTTGCACTCTTGTTCAATCAACCTTCGCGCCATCTGACGATCGGCTTCTGTGTATTCCGTGTCCAAATATGGAAGCGCATCGACCAAAACCTAAGACAAAAAAAAAGATTTTAAAAAGTAGCTAAAATCTCACTTGATCATCCGAAAAACCGCCAGGAGCTGTTAGAGCCAAATTTTGCGTCGTCATCTGATCTAAAAATAAATATTGATTAAGTAAATAAAGCATAAAAAGAAAAAGGCTAAAAGTAGAGAATAAGTGTTTGACTCGAAACAATTTTCTATGGACTACGTAGCTCCTATAGACGGGGATGAGGCTGGCACAGGTTCAAAAAGGTGGTAAGAAGTGAAATGAAAAGTTGTATTCGATAAAATTCATGGAAAAATGATTGCAAAGTCAAATGCAGTAACTTTCCACAACAGAATAAATGCGGGGTAGGCTAATTTCCGCCATTTTATTTTGCGCAACTCACCATAACTTTTTTCTAAGTGGACTAATCTTTATGATTTTAGTGTTATTTTGTAGATCTCAACAAGTGAAACAAAATGACACTAAAATCATAAAGATTAGTCCACTTAGAAAAAAGTTATGGTGAGTTGCGCAATGACTCCATAAATGCATGAATTTTATGCAAGAGAGAAAATAAATAACCCAATTGTTTGTCGCAGCGAAGCTATTCAGTCCGTCAACTGAATATTTTCACTTTTCTAATAGAAGGGTTTTACAAGTACTTAAAAGGACAAATTTCTGTCGGGTCTTCTCACATTCTGGATTTTGTGCTTTTCGCCAACTCTTGCGCTAAAGCTTTCCAGAAGTAGGTTAATTTTTATTCAGCACATCGCTTTTTGCGTAAAATGTTTGTTTCCTGCATCTACATATTTGTTTTCTCATTTATCCAAAAAAGTGTTCAATGAATCCCCTTTTATATTTCCCATCAACAAAAGAACGTGTTTTTGTAAGTTCTTTGCTCTCCGCCGCTCGCTCCTTGCTGCTTTTTCAGCTCAAAGAACGCTCAAACTTTGCACAACAAAACCCGAGATTTTTGTTCATTTTTTCTTATTTTTTGTCTTTCATTCCTTTCAAAAACAACAGTTTTATCAAAATTTTATTTTTTTTTATTTAGATGCTCGGACTTGGCACAACGCTTCGACCAGCTTTCGCCTTTGGACGACAAATCGCTCAACTATCAACACATCATGGTGGGGTTATTTTTAAGTGTATACCTAGGCTTTCCTGAATGCATAAGGGTCATAAAATTAGGTTAATGATAATTTTTAGAGAAGATGTTGATCGTTCAGCGAGTCGGTGCCAAGCAAAACGTGGGATTAATCAAACTGAATCGACCGAAAGCGCACAACGCTCTTTGCACGCCACTTATGAAAGAGGTAGAGCTGATCAAAAAATGTTGATTTTATAATATTTCTTTTATTTTGATTTTTAGATGCAAACGGCTGTCAAAGAGTTCGAAGAAGACGACAAAATTGGAGCCATTGTGATCACTGGAAGCGAAAAAATTTTTGCGGCAGGGGCTGATATCAAAGAAATGGTATTTTGAAGATTTCTTTTTACAGTTTTAGCTAAACTTTAGGTAGTAAAAGATTTTGCGACAATTTACACGGGAAAGGATCATTTCCTTGATGAGTGGAAGACAATCGCCGAATGCAAGAAGCCGATCATTGCAGCTGTTAATGGGTTTTTTACTTTAGCCTTCGGAATTAAGTTTTGTGTCTAGGTTTTGTCTTGGTGGTGGCTGTGAATTGGTTATGGCGTGTGACATCATTTACGCAGGTCATCATGCACAATTCGGGCAACCTGAAATCAACATTGGTATATTATAATTTTTTTGTTTTAAATATCTATTTTAGGAGGTTCCCGGTGCTGGAGGGAGTCAAAGATTAACGCACGCTGTCGGGAAATCTCTTGCGATGGAAATGGTACTCACGGGAAATCGCATTGATGCAGAAACGGCATTGAGAGCTGGTCTTGTTTCAAAGGTATCACATATTGACCGAGCAAAAATCAAACTCATTTAGGTATACCCAGCAAAGGAGGTTCTTGCCAAAGCGATCGAACTTGGCGAAAAGATTGGCGAACAATCACCGTTGATTGTGCAAATGTGCAAAGAAGCTGTGAATAGTGCCTACGAGTTGACGCTGAAAGAAGGACTTCACTTTGAAAGACGTTTATTCCATGCCACTTTTTCTACGGTATAATTTCATGTAATTAAATTTGTTAATGAAAGTTTTAGCATGATCGAAAGGAGGGAATGAGTGCTTTCGTCGAAAAACGAAAACCAAAGTGGACCTCGGCTTAATATGTACATAAAAATATTGCATTTTGTTACGTGTGTTTAAAGTTTCAATAAAATCTTAAAATGAAATTTCACCAGATTTCGGGAATTAAGCAATTTCATTGCTATTGCGAAAAGTGAAAATTGTTGTCAACATGGATTCGTTTAGGTCGATGGCCAATTGAAGAAGGAGCTTGGATTCAAATTTCGATGTAAGTTTTCAATGTTCATATAGTTTGTGTAAAAAGTTAGATCTTAAAACCGTTTCAAGCCATTGTTCAAAGTCATTTTTGAAATGTTTGACAAGTATGTCTCGATTTTGGACGTTTTTGTCCTGTAAAAGTTCGATGTTTACCTTGTTCACTCTAGCGGTTTGATTTTTGGTTTTATTCACGTCTCGGCTAAAACGCGCCCTTTTCACCGCTCACTGCGATGCGTGTGTCGCTGTTATGAAATTGCGGTTTTGGCCGGTCTTGTTTATCAGAAGAATTCGTGGGGAAATCCGTCACATGTTGACACTAAATCCCTAAAACTTTCTAATAACTGTTGTTCCAATCAATCTTAAAGTAATTCATTAATGAATTGTTTAGTCTCTTGATTTCTAGATTTTGTTTAATTGTCTTCATAACCAGCAACTAAATTTAGATGGGCAACAATCAACCCGGAGGCACAACCAAACGAGAGCGAGGCGAGATGGGGCAAAGTCCAGGCGGGAGGACGCGCGCGATGAGCGGAAACCCGCCACCCAACTTAAGCAGTTCGGCCGAAGATGGATGTCCTGTACAGGTACTTGACTTTCTGCTTAATTGGTCAGTAGATTGATAGTTCTTTAGTGTAAAGGAACGTGTATCTGTAAAAGTTTCGATAATTATGAACTCGTTTACTTATCATTATGCAATCCAAAGGCAATTTTAGGTGAAAATTGCGAAAAGCCTTGACGATTCGAATGGCTCCCTTCCGAGTGTGGCCACACTGACTGTGAAAGATAAAAACGAGTATCCAGTGGTTTTTAAGTGGCATGGTGGATCACAATCGGGACCACGGTAATATTGACAAATTTTTTTTTTGCTAATGCAAGATTTAAGACAAGTTTCTATCTGTGGTTCTTGGGACAATTGGAGACGAAAGATCCCGCTAGTGAAATCGCAGAACGACTTCACGACAATCGTCGAGTTACAACCAGGTATTTTGTTTTAGACTTTTAAGCTTTTTTTAAAATTTCGTCCTTTCTTAATTTACAATCTTATTCAGGTGACCACGAGTACAAATTTATGGTTGACGGGAAATGGGTTGTGGATGATAATCAACCAAAAACCGACAACCCAATGGGTTCCGAGAATAACGTAATCCACATTGATGAGGCTGATTTTGAGGTAAATCATAGCTTTTTCATTTAGTAGGTTTGTAAATAGTTTAGAAGTAGTTATTCAAAATCTTTTAGGTTTTTGATGCGCTCGATAAAGATCTTGCCTCGTCGAACGCCGGTGAAGCGATGAGAAACTTGAACAAGGTTAGTTGAAGTTGCACGTTTTTTTTTACTTCTCTGTTTAGGCTCCTACCAGCCATGATACACCAAATGATCGTGAATTGGAAAAAATGCACGCTTTTTCAGAGGTTAAGAAATTTCTTCTTCATTCACATAGTTTTGATTTAGGAAGTCCCGGATCGCAAAGACTTCGACAAAGCAGCAAATCCTCCTGTACTTCCACCTCATCTTCTGCAGGTTGCTTTGGTTATTGTTAACGTTTGTAGTATTATTTCAGGTTATTTTGAACAAAGATGTGCCCGTGCAATGTGATCCTAATGTCCTTCCCGAGCCAAATCATGTAAGGGTCTTTCGATTTTAAAACAAATTTAATCTGAATATTACAACAAGAAATTTTAAAATATTTTTCGTTTCTTTTAGGTCATGCTTAATCACCTTTATGCGCTCTCGATCAAGGACGGTGTGATGGTGCTTTCTGCAACTCATAGGTATGCATTTTGAGTTGAAAAAAAATTATCAAACTGTGTCGTTTTTAGAAACCGTTCTATTGTAGTCACAAGAAATTCAGTACACAATCAGTGAAACTTTTAAAATACCCTATTCAGCCATTCTTTTTCAGGTACCGCAAAAAGTATGTGACCACTCTCCTCTACAAGCCGATCAGTTGATTTATGCGAATTACATTAATTTTCAAATCAAGGACACCTTTTATTTCGTCAAGCTGAAGATTTTTATATTTCCATTGTAATCTCATTGTTTTACAAAAAAGGCTTTGATCGTAAGAAAATCCGAGTGACTCCCAGCGTGTTTTAAAAATAAGTGATAGCTTTTTTAAGTCAACATTTCTTCGTGCAGATTTTTGTTCCTTTATTAGATTGAATCTGTTAGTTAACATGATTTCGAGATCCTTTTTTTGTTGAAGTACAATTTTTCGCACTTTCTCGCTTTATCCCGAAAAGTTGTGGGATATACGAAAAGTGCCATTATTTGTTTGTTTCCAGGTGTTTTCTTGAGCGATTCCACGATTTTGTGGGTAAAAAACATTGATTAGTCGAACGGGGATGAGCTTCTCATGGCTCACCCATGCACATAGATTATTCATTTCGTTTGTAATTTGTAGTTTTGTCCCGGAAGAATAAAGATCCTGAAAAAATGGATGAAAAAACGCCTTGAAGCAGAACAGAATTCAACAATCGAGGAGGAGTACTGTAAATGAATAGAAATTTCATGTAAACGAAGGGCTACTGTAGCTGAATTTGGATTTGTATCTAATAGGGGTTACGGTAGCTGAATTGTTAACGAATTCGACGAAAGCTTTACTGAAAATTTACATTTACAGATTGGATTACTGTATCTGGATCAAAATTTACATTTAGTGAGAGTTACTGTAGCTGGGTACAACTACAGTACTAAGTTTCCCGATTACAATTTAGCTGAATATCTTTAAACTTGACATTTTCTTGGTTACCAGGGTCTCCCCCCGTTGCTATAAACATCATTTTGGCGATAAGGTCTGACTCTTGAGATAGCCAAAATATGGAAAGAGATCCAGGTAGATTGCGTGTTCAGAATTTTTAATGTCCAAAGAGAATCTTAAGAAAAGAAAGAATTTCCCTCAAATCCACCATTTCTAGCTTTATTTCTATTGATCTTGGATATTTTAAAGTTTACTTAAAATGGTAAGTATTAGACATTTTTATGAAACTTTATGAATTTTTTCGTCTTTTCTCAGTTTGGCTTCATTCACGAGAGTGTCCGTCAGTTGATGTTACGCAAATATGGAGAAGAGTTTTGGCAGAAAGTCTTGTGAGTTTTCAAAGTTTCGAAGGGAAAGGGAAACGCTTTAGAAAGTGAAGAGAAAGAAATTCTTTCGAAGATTACGGTTATATTATGAATTTTCTAGACAAAGAGCCGGCTTTGAAAGCGGAAAAGAGAACATTGTTAATCATTACTACTCTGATGCGGACACTTATGTACTCATCGATGCGGTTAGTGTCATATCAAGTGAGTCGGCTGAGTCTTTGAAATACACTACTGGACAAATGAAATATCATATTTGAAGAAACGATCGTCACTTTCGCGCGTCTGTAACTCTGTAACTCGTCTGTAACTCGTCTGTAACATCTGTAACGTCTGTAACTCGTCTGTAACTCGTCTGTAACTCGTCTGTAACGTCTGTAACGTCTGTAACTCGTCTGTAACTCGTCTGGAAATCGTCTGTAACTAGTCTGTAACGTCTGTAACTCGTCTGTAACTCTGTAACGTCTGTAACTCGTCTGTAACTCGTCTGGAACTCGTCTGTAACTAGTCTGTAACTCTGTAACGTCTGTAACTCGTCTGTAACTCGTCTGTAACGTCTGTAACGTCTGTAACTCGTCTGCAACTCTGTAACGTCTGTAACGTCTGTAACTCGTCTGTAACTCGTCTGGAAATCGTCTGTAACTAGTCTGTAACGTCTGTAACTCGTCTGTAACTCTGTAACGTCTGTAACTCGTCTGTAACTCTGTAACTCTGTAACGTCTGTAACGTCTGTAACTCGTCTGTAACTCGTCTGGAACTCGTCTGTAACTAGTCTGTAACTCTGTAACGTCTGTAACTCGTCTGTAACTCGTCTGTAACGTCTGTAACGTCTGTAACTCGTCTGCAACTCTGTAACGTCTGTAACGTCTGTAACTCGTCTGTAACTCGTCTGTAACTCTGTAACGTCTGTAACTCGTCTGTAACTCGTTTGTAACTCGTCTGTAACTCGTCTGTAACGTCTGTAACGTCTGTAACTCGTCTGTAACTCGTCTGTAACTCGTCTGGAACTCGTCTGTAACTAGTCTGTAACGTCTGTAACTCTGTAACGTCTGTAACTCGTCTGTAACTCGTCTGTAACGTCTGTAACGTCTGTAACTCGTCTGCAACTCTGTAACGTCTGTAACGTCTGTAACTCGTCTGCGTCTGTAACTCCGTAACGTCTGTAACTCGTCTGTAACGTCTGTAACGTCTGTAACGTCTGTAACTTTGTAACGTCTGTAACGTCTGTAACTCACAATTTTTCATGGCATAGAGAAAGAGGTCACTCAGCACCGTTTCCTTTCTTTTGACACTTTTTGCATGAATCATTACCGTATTCGAAGCGAACGGAGAGTTTTGGTTGAGAAAAACTTTCACAAAGACCTTTCCGATGCAATTCAAATGATTGTTGGTATAATAGTACGAACTAGACATGGGAAAATTCAAAGCTCAACTTAATTCCTTTTCTTTTTTTATTTCCTTTCAGCCGTTTCTTAATCGATTCCTTTGAAATTATGGCTATAAGCTGATTTAAGCTATAAGCTATAGGCTATAGGATGATTTAAGCTACAAGCTATAAGCTAAAAGCTGTTTTAAGCTATAAGCTATAAGCAGGGAACCTTCCCAAGTTACCCGCGAGTTACAATATGAGGTACAGTACTGGACAATGAAATATCATATTTGAAGAAACGATCGTCACTTCGTCACTTTCGCGTCACTTTCGCGCGTCTGTAACTCCGTTTTCTTTGAGTTTAAACTATTAGTGTTATACATTTTTTGCTCTGCATCAGGAGCCAAAGGTTTATCGATTCTGGGGTAAAAATCAATAAGGATGTGTACCAAAAAAAGATTCTTGAGGATGTTTTGCTCTCATGCGCTCAACAGCCTTTCGGTAACGGATTTTGGACCTTCCAACAAGACTCCGCTCTTTCTCATCGAGCCAAATCCACACAGGACTGGTGTAGGACAAACTTCCCAGATTTCATCTCGGCCCAGGAATGACCTCCGTATTCGTGCGATCTCAATTCGTTGAACTACAGTGTTTGGTCAATTTTGGAGGCAAGGGCTTGTGCAAAACCCCACAAAAGTTTGGAGGCTCTTAAGCGAACGTTGAATGGGATCGAATCACTCCGGCCGAGCTGCGGCCCATCGCCGAAAATTTCATCAAGCATTTGAGGCTCTGAATCAGGAGCCAAAGGTGGCCACTTTGAAGAAAAGTAGATTTTATGCTCTCTTTATATCATGTTGTTAATCAAAAAAATTCTTTCTGCTACAAAATCTTTTTGGATTTTTAAAAAAATAGACTAAATTAGGCCGCAACGTTATTTCTGATCACCCTGTATTCCAGCTTAAGTACAAGAGATCTGTTATATTGTTGTTTCTATTTTATTTTCCATTTCTATTAGGGTGGTGCAAAAGAAACTGCCGATGGGTATCAGCTCTCATTTATCAAAAACGAGTGATGCTAACGGCATTAGTTTTTTCTATGTTTTGTTTGCTATTTATTTCGATATTTGAATTGAAAGCTCTTTTCAATGGCTACACAATGGTAATATTAATATTTAGAAATACGGTAAAGAGAAGGGAGTTACAGATGGGCAAAAGTGATGATCTGCTTTTCAAATCTAATATTTCATTGTTCTTTAGTTTATATTCATTCTATCAAGTGAGTCTTTGAAAGATATCGATTCTAGAAATGTCTCGTGAACAAGTTTGGGAGCTTTACGGTGCTTTCCTCATCGAGTACACTATGGAGATTGGCTGGGACGAGTTGATGAGAGCGATGAGTCCGAATTTAAAGGTGTGATCGGAGCGGGAGGATTTGAGAAGTTGAAATCGAATCTCTATTTAGGGTTTCCTTGACAATCTTGACTCATTGCACTACTTTATCGATCATGTTGTCTACAAGGCGAATCTCCGCGGGCCATCTTTTCGGTAAGCGTTAACGATCAACTATTTAAAGAAAAGTATTTCGTCTGTTCGTCTGTTCGTCTGCAAGCTTCTCGTCTTTATGCTAGTTCTCGACTTCTCGTTGGCTAATTTACATAGTACAGGGTGCGTCATAATTATTGCAACAAGAGTTCAAAGACCGTTTGTGATGTCAAGAATGTGATGTCATGGGCGTGTAAAGCCAATAACAATCAAAATTGGACCTTCATGCAAGATGGAGCTCCCGCTCAAACGAAGAAGACGGTTCAGGACTGGTGTGTGGCCAACTTTCCCTCAGTGATCACCAAGGATGAATGGCCTCCAAACTCACCGGATCTCAATTTGATGGACTTTTCCATCTGGGCAATCTTAGAGGCTAATGTCTGCTCTTTGACCTTGAAGAAGTCAAAACCAAAGTCAAAACCTTGATCAAAACCAAAGGATGGAAGGCGACTCCTCAAGATGACATTCGGGCCGCAGTGGAGACATATCCGAACCGATTAAGGGCTGTTATCAAGGCAAAAGGCGATCATATCGAATGATCTCTTGTTTCCTTACTTGCTACTGTTAAATAAAGCCTATTTCTGTTTAAAAATCTTCTTCCAGTGAAACTTCTTGGTGTGCAATGCCTTGAGTATCTTGTTGCAATAATTATGACGCACCCTGTAGATCAAAGTATTCGTAAATGTATTTGAAATAAACCATTGTCAACAGTTGACTCCCGGCGGAATGAATAAGTCGCTTGGCGGCATCAAAACGACCGGCATAACAAGCCAAGTGAAGACACGTATCTCCATACATATTTTGACATCTAATCATCTGAAAGAACAAGGCTTTGACTTAGTTTTTAAAAACATAGCTTTTAATTTGTTAGGGCTTAGAATTTTATCTAGTTTTCCATCTCATATTTCGTTTTTTTAAAAAGCAAAAGTCAAGACACGGCGGGGAGTCGAACCCG